CATTTTATTTCACACATTTTAGAATTTAGAGTTTATGAATTAACAAAAAACAATGAAATTCCTTATAGCTTATAATAATGTTTATCATTGATCAGTATTGAGTCAAAGTTTCAAACTATTAACAATTTAACGCAAATTACTACTATAAAAAATGTACATCAAATTAGTATATATTTTATTACAACCTCTAGCGGACCACCAGTGGTCCGCAGACCAAAGGTTAGGACCTATGGGTTGGGACCACTGCTTTAGAAACAAAAACATGAACTACATTTTTATGACTAGGGATTTAATTTTAATTAATAAATAAATAAATCACAAATAGGTATCTACACAAATTTTGATACATACAAGGTATTTCTTATGATTGACTTTTGATCTGTAAGAGTAGGGAATTTCCCAAATAGAACATATTTTTATAAATTGGAATATAACATTATTTAATAAAACAAGACAAAAAAATAAATAATAAAATCAATTCTATACCCTAAAATAAGTAGGTACATAACAAATTCTACAATTTTTCATGTAACATTGTTGTTAAATGTGTGGGGTAAAGTAAAATTAACTATAGATTCTTGAAGCAAAAATAATAAAAATATGTAAAATAAAAAAAGTATGAGTATTTTCAATATTTACGTTGAACGTGAAGATCCTGCAATTTGATAATCATTTCTAGGTTGCCTTGGTGGTTGTGGTGGTGGTGAAAAACGACCACCAGAATGACGACTTGATGGTCTTGGTTCTTTTCCTCGTTTAGGCATCCTCCAATATTTTGTATCGATCACAAATCAAATTCACATAAATCCGATCGCACACAATAATCTAAAAGGAAAACGTGATAAGACACATGACGATAATGAAGTCAGTGTTAACCAGGTAGCTGCCCAGCTAAATGATTACTTATGTAAATTATTATAACATTAATTCGCTGACCACATTATACAATTTCTATGAGCGATCATAATTAGTATTAAGCAATCGTAGAAATAGGTACACATTTTTGAATAGTATTAACAAACAACTGAATAAAATGAATAAATGGTACAATGCATTATTGAACATTGTTTATGTTTTAAAATTATTATTACAATAAATAATAATCATGGAGGTATGTAGGATAGTATTTGGAACGCGATCCGATGTAAGAATTTCATTTTCGAAACAATTAAAACAACTGATAGGACACCATCCAAAATCGATCACCATAATGCAAATATAATACTACGATAAAACGAACGAACAAAAATGTAACATTATTCTGAACTCACGTAATTTTTTTTGAAACGCGAAACGCCGGACAACGACGATCTATAGCCTAAGTTATACTAGAACCACACGTCCACACGCGACTTGTTGCAGCTATGAGCTCTGGACAACAAATGAATAGACGCCATATTGATTATCAAAAATCAGGCGTTCAGCCATTCAGGGCACCAGGCTGCAGCATTTGTCAGACGTGTGTTAGGGAAGTGGGAACACTCTGCGCAGCGTGTCTGCGTGACGTGCCATGAACCCCGATCACGCTGTGAGCAGAAATTATTGATGTTGCTTTTGGTAATTGGTAGACTATAGACAATATGTCGTGTGAAACACTTTCCCCTCGCGACATTATGTCGTGCACAATATTGTCTCTTGCTGATATAATGAAATAATGAATGCAGAGTGATTCATAAACATGCGGCTCATTCCCATTTTTCTTTAAATAATTAATTAATTCAAATTTAGATTTTTAGTATCACTTAGGGCCGTTCTTACGATGTCCGGTTAAAGTTAACCGAAGAATTCTGCCGGTAATAAAATCTGTTATCAGTCGGTTAGCGTTAACCGACACTTTACCGGACATTGTAAGAACGGCCCTTTTAATCGAAATACCATATTTTTAAATTCCTGAAATTGTTTGTATTATTCATAAACCGGCCCACCCTATTCAAAAAACATTGATAGTTGCGTGCCGTACTACCGTTGTGGTGTTGTGCTGATATCTTAGATCATATACAATATCGTATATGATCTAAGGCCGATATACAGGCCATGGAATCACGGACGTTTCACCCCCGCCGTTTCGTCCCCGTCAAAAAAACCAGTCCACGGACGTTTCGTCCCCGGAAATTATTGAGATAGGACATTTCGTCCCGGAGAGTTATTAGAAATAGGACGTTTGGTCCCCGGCATATTTTCATTAGGTATAGGACATTCAGTTCTCAGGTTATTAATTATTACTTCAAAGTTCATTATTTTACTAACATTTACTAGGTACATTTATTTTTAATGAACAATTCTGTAATGTCTAATATACAGTGTTGTAAAGTATTTGAGTAAAAGTATTCAAATACTTTTTTCCGCATTGAATACTTTTTTTTTTATTCTTTTAGTTCTTAATTTGTTTCTACTTATAATTATTCTTGTTAAATAAAAATACCATGACGTTGTGGTTTTACTTTAACATTATAACAATGTAATATAATATATTTATTTAACTACTTTATTTTAAGAGTATTTGATACAGAGAGTATTCAATACAGATGTGCAATGTCAATGCATCTGCCACGACTGCATTTGTACAAAAACAAAATGAAATAATAAATGTACCGAAAATAGTTTGTTTTAAGGAAAAGAAATTGCAATCATAATATTGTACTGGAAGTATACCGCGGGGATCAAACGTCCTATGGCTATAATAACTCTCAGGGACGAAACGTCCTATCTCAATAATTGCCGGGGACGAAACGTCCGTGTACTGGTTTTTTTGACGAGGACAAAACGGCGGGGGCGAAACGTCCGTTTACCAGGCCATTAGATGACCGGTCTATTAGTAAAAGGTCTATCATGGTAGTATGGTGCCACTTAAGGAGTTTCCCATAGCGATATAAACTTCTGATTTTCTTATGAAAACCCCCTTTGTTAATCCACCTTAATTATTAATAGTGGATAATTATTATGAAAATGTTGATGATTATTGAATCTTATTCAAAATTCAAACGAGTAGTTTGTCAGTTATTTAAATGTTTATAGGTACTAAAGATAATAGTCCTTAAAAATGGTTTTACAAAAATGTAAAATAGATAATAATATTGGATCTATTATATTTTATTAAACTTGTACTACTATTAAAATTATAAATGTCGATAGATTAATATTATATTACCTAAATTACTAACATTTGCAAATTCCTATAACCACCATAACTCAATTAATACTGGTCTATTAGTAGACAAAGTTAAATAAATCACTACTACTTGTTCAAATTGAGATTTTGAAAATTATTATTACTATTAGAAAAATCAAAAGCATTTATCTATATGACTATATAGCACACTACTTAAAAAGTAAAAACAAAGATCAAGAATTTGAAAATGTAGGTAGGTACCTAACTACTTAAAAATTCCAGTAATCTGATATTTTAAATAACAACAACATTATTGAAGAAAAAATATTAATAATATTATTCAGGATTAGCTCTTTAGCTTTTGGCGCAATTGGGGAGGGGGGAGACTTCGACGGGCTTAGCGACCCGTCAGTTCAACAGTTTAACTTCCCAATTATGAATATTGTAGTCCTCGCAACAAAAACAGCCCGCCATCCCCCCGTGCGCCAGTTTTCGTTGCGCGGAGTGCGGACTATAGTTTTATTTGTCGTCATGGGTATTTGTAATATTACAAATAACAATATGACATTTTACTTAATTTCCAATAATTTCCACTTTCCATATTAGGTATATCACGTCTTTTGAAGGTTTAATCAATTTTCATTACTAAATGCACTAAGTACTGAGATAGATAAGAAATAAGAATATATCTATAGCAAGGTGTATTGATAAGGGCGTGCGGAAAAAAAAAACCAAGGAAAAAAAAAACCACGAAAAAAAAAACCAAAAAATAAAAACCAAAACATCAAAAACCAAATGAAAAAAAGTCCACGGAAAAAAAAACCAAAAGAAAAAAAATCATGAAAATAAAAACCAAATTTCATATTTTGCTATCATATTTTAGGTAGGTATTCTGTCTGTTGTATAATAAAGAACAAAAATTAATGAGTTAGTTAATAAATCAGAAAATTACAAATAAATATTTTGTTAGTAGAATAGAATATAAGTATAAACTGTAAATAATTGTATAGGTAGGTACTATGTTTTAGGAAAGTATTGTTGGGGTGTGTGTATGTACCTATATGAGTGTGTATAAAATGCACAAGTATTTAACCATATAAAGATAATATTTTATATTATTAAAGATACCATTAAGATAAAAAAGGTACCTACAGCTTATGTTGTTCATTTATTCATTACATTATATTGTATATATCATATATGTTTTTGATACAAAATCGGACTTATTTAGACTGTCTAGATAACTGTCTTTTTCATTTGGTTTTTTTTTGTTTTGGTTTTTATTTTTTGGTTTTTTTTTCGTGGTTTTTTTTCCTTGGTTTTTTTTTCCTACAACCATTGATAAGGTGTCGTCACTTGTTTGAAAACTTGATTGAAAATTTTGCCACAGACAGTCGTCACCACCGGGAGCGCTGTATGTCCTAAAGAGCCAAAGAGGCCGAAAAACGAACGCTTTTGTACACCAAAGCCATAGAAAATTGAAAATATATTATGATTTAAGGAATAAAATTAAAATTTTTCATTGTATAATTACTTTTTTGATCTAAATTATTTGTATGCATGTATTTAAATAATTTCTTTTTATCAAATACAGTCATTAATATTATTAAATATTGTCATTTTTTGATCACATGACAAAAAAAAAATGAAAAGCACTGTCCTAGATTAAACTGTAGTATATCTAAATATATATAATATGTATTATATACATATTCAAAAATTAAAGTCAAACATGTACAAGCATGCTTAAACTCTATACAACTCGAAATCTTATGACTATTCAGCTGTCAAAACAATAATTTTACCCTAAACCTTATTCATTCAACCTTCGCACTGCATTCACAAAGCTGAAAATACATCTGTCTTCTAGTATTTTTATTTTTATTTTAAAATGCCAAACAAATGCTTTGTGCCTGGTTGCAGGACTGGTTACGCTTCTAAAAAAAATGAAACTGAGAAGATAAAACTAATTTCATTATTTAAGCCTCCAGAGGTAATACTTTTTAGTTGTTTTTATAGACAGTTTAATATATATTCTATTACATTTATTTATGCAGATTAAATTATTTTCAACATCAAATATAATATATATACAAACAATACAAATTTACATAAATCAATTTTTTATTTATATATTGATACTATTTATAACAGGAGTTAATTGAAGTATGGAATAGAAAAATGCCACGGGCAGATAGGTATTTAACATCAAAAGACCGCGTATGTGAGTTGCATTTTCTGGCCGATTGCATAACGAAAGAAAAAGTTTTAAAGGGGCCTAATGGGAAGGACATACAATATAAATTGTGTAAGCCTACATTAGTAGCTGGAGCAGTTCCTACCATTTTCCCAAATTTACCGGAATATTTGAGTGATAAAACCATGAAAAGAAAGCCACCTAAACTGAGGATTGCTTCAACAAAAAAAACTTAAGTACAGATAACTGAGGCACATAATTATATTTGAAAATATGTAGATATAGTGTCACCCTGTGTGTCGCAGCAATCTATAATTTTGTGGTTGAGTGGGATTGATTGAGCGGGAGATGCGCGAAATCGGACAACTTTTGGTCGAATAGCAGTACTGATCTCTCGTGGGCCGGAGTATATACAATTTACCATGACAATTTGTCATGCAATTTACTACTTTTTTTCTTTTTTCCCTCGCTCTATATCAGGGTATAGACACTCTGTGTATTGGCAAAATCGGGTGACTGTGGCCTTGAGCACGGTCTCTAAGGGGGATGGCTATGTTATCATTTAAATAAATCATATCAATATTATCAGTCCACAGAATAATAATACAATATATTATTTCATTAACAATAAACCAATGTAAAATTACATTATAGTTTTTAATTTATATTAAAACAAAATCCTTATTCATTTTACCAAAATTTAATATTGATATAATATTGTTAAATGTTTAAAATATGCCATAGATAATATAAGAATGGATAGGACATGCCTATACCAGTTTCATATGAGGCCGTGTGCTTTTTTGGGAAAGAGAGAAAGACGATATGAGACTTTTTAAGGTTATGTGCAAAACTATTTTATTAAATAATAATAATAACATGATAGTCAGTTATATATATATTTATCAGTTTGTATTTTGATTGTTGTGCCACCTGTGCCTGGAAAATGGAAATTGGAAAATAATATTTTAACAAAATGAAATTATATAAATTTTATTTATTATTATTTATCAATTATCATATCAATATTTGCCTCATATAATCTTAAAAATAGTATCACTAAATTTTCATGTGATGAGTTCTTATGTCCCACGATTTTAAAGAACAGGTTATGCGTCGGAAGCACGGACTAAGATATACAGGACTGGAAACGAGATAGTCATCTATGGAACTACAGTAGTACAGTGTAACGCTTCTGGTACAAGTGCGATTTTAACGCCCTCAATGATCCATTCTACGAAATATTAATACATCAGTGTCCAGCACGAATTAAGATTTTGGCATTTGAAATTGCTTCATTCCAAGCAGTTAAATTAACCACATCTTTTGGACTTTTAAATAAAGTGTATTTTTTTCCCTCTGAACATCCCGTACAGCCATCCACAGAGCATTTTCTCGGCATTTTAGCGAATAATAAATGGATAATATAGTTGGTAAAATGTAATGTACATTAAATACTAAATGCTAATACCTAAGAGCTAATAGGTGCGTACGAATCACGGACTAAGATAGAGTCACAATAGAGTTATCTTAGTTTATCTTATTCCGTGGTATAAATGTATTAAACTATTGTACCTAATTTTATTATAAACAGAAATAATATGCAAATAAATATATGTGTAACAAATGCTAAATATTATCAATAGATAGAGCCACATTTGTCCATGTACTACAAGCGTTACACTATGGTTCCGGCTACCCGCACTCCTCCCGTCTATCGTTTCCAGTCCTGTTTATCTTATATTATAGTCCGTGGTCGGAAGGAATATTTTCGGTCAGATTTTGTTACGGCGGTGTAGTTCTTAAAACCGCCGAGCGCTGCAAGTCATCCGTGTTACATATTAACATTTTCCTATACAAACCATGTTAAAACTAATTTTTTAATTAATTAATTGACAAACCTTTTGTTTTAATATTAACATTTTATTCATGGGCAATTTATAGACCTGCATTTTGGGTGTAGCCTACTGTATTTTTAGACCTCTCTTTTTTTATTTCGGCCCTACTAACAATGTATACGAACTTTGATAATATTAAATAATTTTTCATCAACCTAATTGATTATTATTATTAATTATAATATAATTTTTTAAGAGATGTGCAATGGTGTTTTAAAAATATTTTGATACATTTTAAATTATTTAATATTTTTGTTTATTTTTTTTTTTAGTGGTTTTACAATGTTTGAAAAATGCCTATTGCCTAGTAATTTAATAAAATGTTCTTCATAATTTTGAAATGGAAAAATATACCTAAATTCACTACAATAGGGGCCAGTTCTAAAGACTTAATTGTGGGGAGGGGGTGCTAGATTATAATTTTCACAAATAAATAATGATTATTCGATGACGACAAAAACTTTATCTCAATAATCAGTTATTATGTGGTCACTTACATTAGGAACCAGGAGTTAGAAATTAGTGTATGTATCATGTATATCATTGTGTTTTTTAGTATTTAAAAGTATAACGTTATTCTGTGTAGTACAAAGTAAATAGGTACATTTATATATATTATATTTACATATACCAACCGAGCCCTAATGTAGTGCCAAAACTAGAGTTTATTGGATTAAATTAGTTTAATCAAATTAACTCTACATATCAGATGGTAATTTCCTTTTTTTCACTGGGTTTGACAAATATTTTGGACCCGGAAATATACTTGGAACAGCATCATGAACAAGCTTTGCTCGTTTTAAATTTATCTATAAAAATGTTTAAGACATTTTTATATAAAAAAAGATTCATTGAACAAAGGATAAGTTACAGTACCTAGGTAATACCGTGACTTTTGAAGCACCAGAACCAGATTCCCAAGTTCTAACAATTTGATCAGGTGAAAATGTTATTCACAAATCACTGTCTTTGAGTTGACAACAAGATTAGCACGAGGAATAGATTTTTCACATTTTTCCCTCAAAATTTCATTTTTAGGAAATTGAAACAGTGAAACTTTTGTTGGGTTTGATTTATATCCTGACGTACAAGGTACAAAACACAACACAGCAAGAAGATGGCATGTTTCGATAATTCGGAAATAAATAATATAATAAAATAATAATATAATGACGTATGTCAAACGTATGACCCCACTATGACAATAATATTAAATATTAATAATATATTATACGATTCGTCTTCACAAATCACAATAGATGATTTATATTTATGACGACAATGAACAATTCGTTTAGAGCCCGGTCAACTAGCAGCGCCTACCTAGTGGTAAATAGCCGAACTATATCACCGCGACCGTAACAATTTCTGACCGCGGTTGTGCCATACAAACCTTATACCGACGGATAGGCGCCTTCACAGCTCCCCGTGAAACGTGATATATTCTAGAACTGTGATTGGTTGAACCATGTGGTTATCTAATGGTTAACCATCATTTTTTTTCTTAATACCTTATCTATACCGCTTATACCGTATAGTTGAGTTCAATCCTACCCAGAGCGTGTGTTTACCGTATGGTTGACAGTCGTGGTTAAGAATATTTTTACGGGAACAAATTATATATTATCACGTTTCACGTTTCACGGTGAGCTGTGAAGGCGCCTTAACCTGTTCTTTATAAGCGTGTTATGTGCCTTATGTCCTATCCATTCTTATATTATCTATGTTAAATGCCCATTGCTTTGTATACGTTTATAAAAATTCCGTAACAAAGAGGGATACACGTTGCTAACGTTCTATCAGATTACGGATACGGTACAACCATAGAACAATATAGAAGCGACACTCGATCAGCTGATGGGTGAAGTGTTTACCTATGATCTGAAGTCCGAACATTCAAACTGTTTCCGTTTACCAACATGATGTTATACCCGTATTGAAAAACCGTCTCCGATTAATAGGCAGGGTATTCTGCGCGGGTCGGGTTGTTTCCAGCATAGAAAAATTGTTTCCACTGTTTACTGTAACGTATGCCACGCCCCTTTAGAGACCATTTTCAAGGCCACAATCTCCCGATCCGACCAATTCACGGAGTGTCGTACCCCTGGTACAACTTTTATAGTCCAATACATCATACCGAGGGATACGTAAACGTCGTAAACCCTCACAGCAGGCTGATCGAGTGTCTATTCTATATTGTTCTGTGTCTATATCGTACCCCTGACTTCTTTCTCTATCCATTAGTTTATAGGTCTATGGACCAAACTCCGCGTATCCGCTTCTCGAGGACTAAAATCAGTCGCCAGTTTTTGTGTCGCCGACTATAGATAGAGTCATGTAGTGTTAACAGATTGTATAATTTAATTATTTACACAAAAATAAAAATAATATTTATGAAATATACACATATGAACATGTATAAATGCGTAATCGTACAAGCTACAAAATCTAGAGAGGGTCATTAATCAAAATAATCCTTATATTTTCTAAAACAACCCAAAAACATTAATAATTCCACACGGGTTTAAGTGAATCTAGGAAAAAAGGCAATTGAAAAAAAAGCAACGGAAAAAAGCAAAAGGAAAAAAAGCACGAGGAAAAAAAAGCAAATGAAAAAAAGGCATAGGTACCTACAGGCATATGTGTATAACGTATAAGTATAGCAAAAACCAATATGTAGTATAGTTAATTAGTAAGTAGGTAGGTAGTAAATAATAATTAAAAATAATTTAATGTAATTAAAAAATTTACACTTAATAAGTTAAAATCAAATTCCAAGTATAAAATTAAATGCATATTGGATAATATGCGTCAATATAAAACATAAATTTATCATAAAACAATTTATAAAGTATACCTTGTGGTATGAGATATAGCTAATAAAAAATTTGGTAGATCACGTTGCTTATCTCTATACTCTTCACATATTTTAGATTCTGAGTGAAACGATGAATGTATTGATTTTACAATGATGTGTGTTTTTTTTTTTTATTTTTTTTTTTATTTTATTTTTTATTTTTTTTGTATCTGTGTACACGATAAGTAGTCGAAATAATGCTTCGATTTTCGACTTCAGTATCTTGTTCGATTGGAAAGTGAATATCGTTGGTGCATTGGGGAGGTCAAAATTTAGGGAGAAAAATTAAGGAAAAACGGGAATTTTTACGCAAAATCGATTTTTCAGAAAATTGAATTTGGTTTTTGGTGTAACTTTAAAACAAATGACCGTAGGTACATGCAATTTTCACTGGTTGTTTATATTTGCATCTTCTATACACGATACCATTTTCAAAATATTTTGATTTATTTTGAACAGTTTATAGACATTTTCATTTTTC